CACAAAAATATATATAAGGAAAAAGGGGAAAGGGGGGGGGGAGAGAGAGAGAGAGCGCAGTGACCAAGTTCTCAGGCGCCGGATCTCCGTAGGAGGGTCACAATGAAAAGTGGGCTGTTACACTCCTGCGCGTCAAGCTTCATTGCATTGCACTGGTGTGCTCGGAGAAGCGACAGACCGGGAAGAGCATCTAGGCTTAGAACAGAAGTCGGATGGGCGGGCTTGATATGTCATGAAGCAGTGGTGAGGGTGCAGGCTAGCTGGTGTAAATTGAGCATAGTTGCAAACCCGAGACTGGGGATACGGACAAGGGACAAACACAGAACGACACGTGTTTGTCCCTTGTCCGTATCCCCAGTCTCGGGTTTACAACTATGCTTGATATGTCCTTCGCTTATTTTTCGAACATGTTGAAAATAGGGGGTGAGTGCGGATGCTGTCTATTTTACGGTAGATGTCTGGACAGCATGATTTTGATCTGCTAATATATATCTCACACGCAATGTAGATGAGAAATTTCGTCAGTGCAGTACTGTTTTCTGTTTTTCATGGGTGGTGTTCCTTCGCGACGTTAAAACGAAAAAAAAAAAGCCACAAAAACATGTAATTTAACGCAATAATTATAAAGCTTTTTTTTTTTCTTTTTTTTTTTTTGTAGGAAGGGGAGGAAATTTTGCACGGTACAAAGCTAACGGGCGTGATTCTGAGAACAATCTTTGTAGTCTGACGTGATACCTTCACGTCAGGTGACACCTTCACGTCAGGTGATACCTAGTCACGCGATATCTTCGACTTCTTTCATCCTTCCCTCACTCGCCGTCTTGCGCTTTCAAGTCGCGTAGTTTCTCGTTATTATGCCAAGACAGCAGAAACCACAACTCGATAGCCTGACGTTTCGCCGTTGGGTTCCCTTTGTGGGTTAATTTGGTTATCAACGCTCATAACTGTTGAAAGGGGGGAAATCGTCTCGAGAGCGCTAACGTGGCCGATGAGCGGTTGCAGCATCGCAATACATGTTTTTCATTGGCTACAGCACCCACATGCAGGAAGAAATTGTACGAAATGCGTTGAAAAGATGACCGAATCCGACCATAGACTCATCTAGGTGCGGAATTCTGTCCGGGACCATTTCGTACGAGATCATTTTGGCCAGAATATTCTTTTTTCTACCCTTGCCCGCGCTGTGACGATGTTAGTTAGATTGGGTTATTCCAAATTGGGCGATTTGTTTCTAGTCAGCGTTGAAATCTACCGATGGCCAAAGCCTATATGGGGTTACTCTTAAGACACTTTTAATTGATGGGGATTAGCTGAAGATACGCCCTAAATCAATTTTAAATAAACAAAAATATAAAACTTTTTTTTTTAAATATAGGCAAAATATTATTATACCCACAGTTGCTAAAGGAAAACAGGCACAACACTTTCTCAACAATTTCGCTCAGCAGGCAGAACACGATTCCATGGAATGCTGTATACTTTATCGAGCAAGGAGTCGGACCCCTTAGGTAGCTGTAGGGCCAGGAATAATATCGTGCAAATTTTACGCAGCACGCGTTGTTCCGATGAGATGGGCCGAACTGCCTTTCCTCGAAGAATAGAGAGCAAGAGAAACATTCGAAAAAATCAAGAGATGGTGAAAAAAAAAAAGAAAGAAATCAAAAGAATTCGGCAAAAGCGAAGGAAATAATAGGACAGCTGCCGAAAAGGGCAGGTTATCACGGTGGGACAGGGTGCTCTCATATTGTATGTATACGTACATATATATTAAATAGAAGGAGTTGCAGTGGCGGATAAAAGGGAGGGGGGGGCGACGGGGGCGGCCCCCCCCCCCCCCCCTCCGCACAAAGTCGACCCCCCCCCCTCCCCCCTTCTCGGAAGGCAATTTGACATGGGAGACCACCCTTGCACAAGAAAGAATGGGAGAATGGTATCCTTCGAAATTTTCCGGCCCCCCCCCCCCCCCCAAAAAAAAAAAAAAAAAAAAAAAAAAAAAAAAACGGAGTTTTGGATCCGCCCCTGAGGAGTAGATAATGAACATAACAAATATAAGGTGCGCAAATGTAGACCAAAGAATTATGACACACTATATTTAAAAAAAACACACACACAGACAATAAAGAAGTTTTAGTACACGTGCGAAACGCATGACCACCTTCACACTGCGGAAAAGGCGAGAGGGGCACACCGAACGAGTTCACACCAGTGGAAAGCAGTGGAAAAAAAAATCAAGTAAATTAAAATTATTTGATTTAAACCACATTAATTTGGTGTAAAACACTGTAGTGATTACACCAAATTCGGTGTGTTTTCCGCTTGGGGAGGGTCGGGGATCGATGACGTCATGGGCGGCCCTTGTCTGCTAGGTGGTGTTCATCTGACACGGCCCAGCGGAGGACTGAGGATAGTCCGTCAGGTCACTGATAACAACGCGGAAGGAAGAATTACTGTAAGTTCAAAAGTAAAGCTTAATTAACAAGTTTTTCATTTATGTAACCCTCCCCCAATCCTTCCTTCATACTAGAACAAAAAAAGCTTGATTTTTTATCTACTTAGCTGAAAAAAACTTATTTTACTTTTTTCTTTGCTTTCTGATTTGCTTGCAGTAAGACCTTACTTTTCAATTGTTTCTTTTGCGTTATTGTGTGCTTTCAAAAGGTGTTATGTAACTGACGAAATGCGGAAGGCAGAAAGGAAGCTCGATGCTCCCATTTGCCCAGAAGAGCAAGCTGCTTTCTGTTCGTGTTCTGCCTGATATAAATCTTTCTTGCTCGATGACTCTTTGATTGCAATACAAAACAAATGCACACAAAAGGCGTCAACTGATAGACAAACGATGTATTAAAACTCTTTTAACGGGAAAGATATATTTCAAATTGTCATAGTACGATTGAAATCCCGATTTAAATAATTTTGATTTTGATTCTCCGCCCTCGTGTTGGTATTATAGTTTTCACGAATTTTGCGTCACAAATTTTGACTCGTATTCCCGGATGCACACGTTTTCACGTAACCATTCGCGCAGAATTGTTTTCTGCGATGAACGGGCGTCGTCACTCGTCACGAAAAATGCTTTTGATACCGTGAAATCGGGAACCACTAAAGTTTGGCTCGTGGAACATTTTGAGGAGACAGTCAGTTGAACAATTAACACGAATAAATTTGTAATCCTGCATTCGGTGTTATAGAGTTACGTTTCAGGGCTTTAATATGACGGCATGCTTGGACAGTCACGTGATCAAATCACTCGAAAGTAAGATTTCGCGCTGGTCGGTTTGGGGCGTTTATTCTTTCATATTTCTGCACTTCTTTTTCTCCTCTGTACGAACAGACTATTATCTCGTCTACTCGTGTTCATGGGGTGCATAGGCCTGGAAGCATCATACGACAGTTTTTAATCGACAAGCACGAACGTAATGATAAAAATTCGGCGAGGCACTTAAGACTGCCTACGTGTAGGAATGCGAAAGCGTTCCTACACGGGCACCGCATTTTTACAAGCAGCGCGCCACGTCTTCGTTTCGCGCACGACGGTCCGCCGGAGACATCGCGTCCCCCACTGCGCATGCGCGGAGAACCCTGCCGGCTCCGTGCCTTCCGTGACGAAGCATCTGCGTTGCTGTGCTTTTCTTTGTGTTTTATTTCTTAGGCGCGTCCGCTTTCACCTTGAGCGCACTCGCCGGCTTCCTTGACGAAGCACCGGCGTTGCTGTGTTTTGTGCCAATGGGAATTTAACTGCCGTTCTGCCGCTACAGACGGTCACAGACAACGCCGGCTTCGCTCTGTGGGACAGGTAATGCATTCGCATTCATAATAATTTTGATTATATAGACTATATGCTCCGTTTTACTTTAAATCTGAGCGCAGTCCATGGTTTACCATCTGACGAAGCCTGTCAAGCAGCGCCAAAAGTGCATAGTCATGGCGCTCGTCGCCTTTGGGCGTTTGCTGTCGTCGACTAAACCAATCACGCCCAGTAAATGCGCCGTTATAGGATTTTTTTTTGTGTGTGAGTGCGTGATTGATTTAGCCGGTGATGGCAAACCGGCAAAGATAAGGAGCTTCGTGACGGTGCATTTTTGGCACTGCGTGACTGGCTCCGTTAGAACGCGTACCCTCGACTGCGATCGGAGTGAACCACACGCATGAAAGCGCGAATAGGGAGTTTTAGTAGAGCGTTCCGATACCTACGACAACGACACGCGATATCGACACGATGCATGAGCAAAGGCGTCGGCAGAGTATATGATATCGTTAACGGAGTTATCCGAAGGATCTACTAAAACTTATTATGGAAGGAAGGACAAGGGCAGGAAGACAGAGGGGTTAACACGGGGATTGTCCCGTTCGGCTACTCCTCACAGAGGAAGAGGGATCAAAATATGAAAAGACGTTTCAAGGAGAGGACGAAGAAAATAAAAGCCATCCAAGTTACAAGTCTTGAACACTGCAAACACGGCCCTTCACACGAACACCACCACCACTACCCCCACCACCACCATCACCACCACCACCACCACCACCACCACCACCACCACCACCACCACCACCACCACCATCATCATCATCATCATCACCATCATCATGCCTTCATTTGTTCCAATAAACGACTCACGGCCTGTAATACGGCACAGCAAAAAAAAAAAAAAAATCTATACATCTAGAAAACGTTTTTAGCTACACATAATTAAACATGCAAATAACAATACCATGGGTTCGTCATTGGCGAATCACGGAGTTGCCAATCGGTGACCCTCGGGCAGGGTCTGGTTTCAGAGCATATGGTTTTCGAGAGGCTGAGTGCTAAGAGCCCTCGCTCTTGGGCGTCCTCACACTCGAAGCCGGATCTCACCCCACTTATTCAACATCCCGGTGTCAAGTCGATATTTCTGAGCCCGCGGACGGCAGTTCCGTCGGCGAGACAGTTGACAGCCACCTGTGGCCACTCGCTGCCTTACCTGGATCCGGAGGGGAGTGCTTCCGGTGACAGCGGGCAGCGAGAGAGGCCGTGACGTCACCGGTGGCCTGGGCGGAGCTGGTCGGCCAATCGATGTACGATCGTACATAAACGGCGATGGCCCCACGAGGTTGCAGACCAGAGCGGCCTCTCCTGATCGACACCCAAGAACCATGGCCAAGGTACGTTCCCTCCTTGCAATGGAGCCGCCCTTAACCACTATTCCCCTATAGGGAGTATTTACTGGTGACCATCACGGTGCTGTAGTTATAGGCGCCTTCTAACAGCGAGAGTCCGCCAGATTCCTTTCGCATCGTCAAAACTGTCACTCACAGTAAGCCATGTGTTGCTTTACCCACAGTTAGTGCTGAGGACGAGATGGGAATAGCTCCTGTAGTCCCAGACACGATGAGAACGACAGGGAGATACGCCATGGGCCTCTAGCGTGCACTCGTAGCCAAAGTACGGCGGAAAACAACAAACGCATGCTAGATTTTGATTTGTTTTTTGTTTTTGGTATGTGAAAGTTGAAACTGTCCAAACTCCCATGGCGCATAGTGGAAAGTGCACGAAGCTATCGTGCGAAAGATGGAAGGGGCGAACTTATAGAAAAACAATATAATTGACATGTTTTTTTAGTCATACGTTACTGACTTAAAGCGTTACTGTATTTATTCTTTCAGCGACGTATAATTCTGTATCAACCTGCTCATCTTGTAAACTTTTTTTTTTCTAGGCAAACATTTTTATTTTGCTTTCGGGCTTTTTGTGTGTGTGTGTTTAGGTAGCTGGCTAGAAGCAGCGTCTCTTAGCTAAAACTGTGGACAAAAAACGCACCGTCAAGGTTAGAGTCAGCGCTAATGCAGGTTAATAAGATAACTCCAATTAGGGTGCTGCCGAGCGTGCGCAATCACAGAATCTTTGATAGATCTCCACGACCAAGCGAAATTCGCTGCGTTCGTAATGTTGCAACTTTAATGGCGTCTTTTCTATCTGCATGGTATGGTGTAAGATTTCAAGACTTTCCAATAGAGGACACATCACCTACTTAGGCGTGGGGATGAATGAGAAGAAACAGAAGCGTCAGCTGCGCAAATGCCAAAGGCGCGAGCTTCGTACGATTCCAAGCAGAGCCGGGGTACGATCAGTCTGCGCGTTTCACTGCTTTACGTCGACATCGACTGCAAGTTCCTGAGACTTTGTATGCCGCGCGAAACTGCTTTTCTTGAACTATTTGCCAAGCTCTACGCGATGTGCGGACGTCCCGTTAAAATCGGGATCGTATCTCGACGTAACGCGTGCTGTGTAAATGGGCCTTTAGATGGCGAGCGCGAGCAGAAATGTGGGCCAGAAGACCCTTGATGTGTGCGCGTTCCGGCTGACTGAACACGGGCCTTAACCGAACGCTGTCACGGCACTGCTGTCCAATCTGTGTCCGGGGTCGGCCTTCATTAGGTGACGTCGAAAATTCAGCCCAAAGGCCTTGTTGTCTAGGGTGTCCCGAGCAGGTGTGAGGAAGGAGCATGTCCCCGCTAAATCTAGCGGAAAAATTGACGTCACGTGCCATGATGTCAAGTGACCTATACGGAAATTTAGTTTCCCCGCTAGATTTAGCGAGAAAACTTAGAATAAAATAGAATACAACATTTATTTGCTTCTTAAAATGCAGTTCAAATGAAAACACCACATAAGCCAATACTGGCTTGTGCGTGGGACGCGACAGATTATTCTCCACTTTTATAGTATTAGAGAATTGTGTAACTTGCACTAGAGCGCGTCATTGCAAAATAAATGGAGTTTCTAGCTGAAGAAAAATATAGTTACAGTCTATTCCACTAATTCATTAAACAGCAGTAATGTATAAGATATGTTGAATTTCGTCACTGATTGCGTCACGTCGTTAGCTACAATTCGATTTATCGAAGCAAACCAATTCTCCAAGGGTGCATTTTACTCTGTTCAAGTATCCACGTGTTCGGCAGTTCTTTTATTATTTTTTTATTTTATTTTGGAGGATTTTATTTTGAATAACTCTTCAGGTAATTCATTACAAATCTCGGGTACATGATAATTTATTGTAGCCTCTCCATATTTGGAATAAATACATGGTTCACTAAATTTTATATTCGGTCTTAACGTTCTTCCGTTTGCATTTTCCACTTTATGTTTGTTGTTGAAACACATCTTTTATTATCATACTTCAGCGGTCTCAAAAAAGCATCATTTTTTGCTTTTAAAGCATTAAGTTTTGCGCTGTTTCTTCATTTAAGTATCTCATATCTTTAGCTATACTTCTTTGGATCGATTCTATTTTTAGTTGTAAATATCTGGCATAGTGTCCATAAACTGTTATTGCATATTGAAGTGAAGCCCAGTGAATTGTATATCATTCCTAGTATGGATCGAGGGACCAGATCTTGTATGTGATGCGCCATTAATATCCTCAATTTTTTACATATATGTTCTACATGAATATCCCATTTAATGTGTGTCTATGTGCATACCTAGGTGTTTGACATTTTCAGCGTATTTCAGCGGAACGCATGAGCAATGATTGCAATTCTGCTCGTGCATTTTTATTAGTAATTCTGTTCCGATTCGCTTCCTCTGGTCTCTGAAGCATAATACTTGAGTTCTAGGAACGTTTAGAACAATTTGATTTTTTTTAAACCATTCTGTTAATGCCTTTTCATATCGTGTTTACAGCTACTTCGTAATTTTTGTGTGCACATCCAATTCTTGTATCGTCTAAAAATTGGAAGAGCTCTCTTTAATTTGATTTGGGCTATCTCATTAACGTATAAATAAAAAAAAAAAAAGGTAGGGAACCGAGTACTGTATCTTGGAGGTACTCCCTGCTTGACTTTGATTTCTTTGCTATATTTTGACCCTAGTCGTACTATCGATACCAGTCATTAAGATAATTTTTGAATAAGTCATGTATCTTCCCCGAATAACAATACTGTGTAATATATCAAGTAATATATTATGGTTTATTGTTTGAAAGGCCCTACTAAAGTTTATGAATAAAGCTATAACATATTTTCCTCTGTCCATATCTTCATTTACATAGTCAAAAAAGTCTTCTAACAGGTCATTGGTTACTATGTGCTCCCTGAATCCATATTGCGTGCTAGCTAATAGATTATATCTTGAAATATAGCTCCGGAGTATTTTGTTAATATATTTCCTGATTATATAATTGATCACGAGAGTAGGCATACTGGTTTATAATTAAGGAATTTGTTTTTTTTTTTGCCTTTTTAGTATATATGCCGAACAATGGATATATTAGGTTTCTTAGAAATATTGCCACTAGAAAATATACAGTTGTATGATCGTAGTAGTGTAGGTTTTAATATATTGACATGACATTTATTATCCCTAGTTCTTATTTGGTCCAACGCTACTGCTTTATTAGTCTTCCGCCATTCATATAGGGGAAAAAAGTAATTACTATTTTTATTTGATTGCTTTGTTTTTCTGTTTCAATGCAGCAAATGTTTTTAAATAATTGTACATAATTCGTATTTAAGCCATTTGCTAGTACTTCTATGTCCTGTTCTGGTCCAAAGTTTGTTTGGATTGATTCTTCAATTTTTTTTTCCGTCCTAATAGTTGGTTTACTATTGGTCAGTCGGTTCAGCATTGTGCAGCATCTCTTCTCTAAAAAAAGTTAGTAAAAAAAAAAAAAGTTACTTTTCGTGGATCTTATCAGCGCTGTAACTTGGTTCCCAATTTTTCTGCGTTTTCTTTATATTTGTCATTAGCAAAACGCATAAGTAATTGCCAAGCTTTCTTACCTTTAAAAAAAAAAAATCAAGCCATCAGTTTTTTTTATTTAACAACTGCTTCTCTTGTTTACGCTTTCTTTTTTTTTTTTGTACTGCATATATTTCAGTTGATTTTGCATATGTTTAAGCATGTTAACAAAATTATTTTATAATTCTTTGGTTTTTTTTTTTTAGCAACTTTGTTCCAGTCTATTCCTTCGATATATCGATCCCTTTCCTATTGTTAATAAATGAGCAATCGCAATTTTTATTCTTGGTACCTTAAAAAATCCGCAATAGTTGCTGCTGCAAAGTAATGATCGCCTACTTTTTCGGAAATGACCTGCCCTTTGGACTTACTCTCTCTAGTCCGTATGTGTAGATCTATACACGACTGTGTTAGTTTCCTTCCTGGTATTTTTTCTCTTGTAAACTGATATATCATCGATTCCATTCTTGCCTTTGCCAGGTCATTTAGGTACTTATTGGTCAGCAAGCTCCGTTTTCTGGCGGCTAAGTTAATGTCCGTTGCAACTATCATGTCAGCGTCTTTTTATCATTTAATCAGTTATTAATATCACCTAAAAAGTAAATTACATTAGCATGAGGTGCTCTCTATGTGCCTAGTATAGAATGTTTTTTTTTTTTAATTTAATTTTAGTACGAAGAACCTTCGTTGAATACGACATGATTTTAATGCTTTTGGTTATCTTCCATTTGTGGTTTACCATAATCACGATTCCTCCTCCTATCCCCTCATCTCTTTTCTTTTGGAAGCGCCTCGAAATTATTTAGGAAAGACAAGGTTTCTTCCTCTGGTTTAATATTAGTTTCCGAAAATACAATCACATCTACGTTATTCAAGTGTACAGTTTTACCAAGCTGTTTACTTCATTGGAATGTTTTCTAAGACTGCGAACATTGGCACACAGGAGAACAAAACAAAACTCGGTTACAGTATCGTTTATACTTTGTCGCCGCTCCTCAAAAGAAGAATACGTTTGCTTTCGGTCAATGACAGATCAAATAGGAACAGCAACTAGCAGATGTTTTGATACCACGTGACACACAAATTCAGTTTACCCGCCGCTATCCGTCACTCCGCATACCCTGTGGACATAGGCGGATCCGACGGGGAAAGTCAATGGGTGGAGAGGAGGAGAGACACCTGGAGGCACAGCTCGGAAAGAAATGCCCGGAGGTTACTAGCGCTAAACCAAGACCGTTTCACGTAGCAACAATTTCGGTGCAATTTGCGACATTTTGACTGGAAATTTGGGGTCTTGAGAAGCCCGAAGAAGCCAAGGCAGAGCCAGACTTGACGTTCTTGGGCCTGAATCCGGGTATCTTAATTGGAAACCACCAAACAAGTGCCCAAGTTAGGCATGGTACTTGGGCTGTCCTTTGGCATTTTTGTGCCTCAATCGCCAGGTTCACGTGGTAACTTTGGGTCGAAACTGCCGAACAAGTATCAGAATAAGGTTCCACTGCTGGTTGTTCAGTTGATATGGGGCATCTTTGGCTGGAGTCGGGCACTTTAGCAATCATGTGGCGAAGCATAGAAAAGTCACAGAAAAGAAAAATAAAAAGTACTTTGGCACCAGCTAACGCCTCGGAGCAAACCCAGCCCAAGTTAGATTACCGAATTTGAGCCAAGTTAGGCGTTTTTGTCATGCATGCCGTTTCTTCGCGCGGCCTTTGGGGATTTTCGCAAAAAAAGGTTTATTTTTGTAAATCCACAACGCCGCAGACTTTCGACCCGGTGCGGCTGCTGCTGGCGCTGTCCTGCCTGCTAGCCCTGACCATAGGTCTGGCGTCGTCCTTCCTCGTGGAGGGCGGAGTCGACCGGGATCCCTGGGACCGCCGGTCGGTGGCGGGTCCCGACGTCGACCTGCTCCGCGCGCTCGGCCAGGGCCAAGACCTGTGCCCGTCCAGCGCCGCCATCCGCGACTTGTGCCAGCGCTGCTCCAAGATGACCAAGGACCCCAAGGCCTTCAGGATGTGCTGCACCAACAGCAAGGACGCCCGCACCTGGTGCGCCAGCTTCCTCGACTTTGGCCTCAACTAGACGTGGACAAGAGGAAGCCGCGTTGAGTCAGACAAGGTCCGAGTGAGCTAACGCCGGTTGCCATCAATGGTGCTGCACAGAAATGGAGGTCTTTTTGTTTTCTGTATACTCTGAGGTTGAGGGGCTAAACCAAAAATCGGAAATTAGTGTTTTTTGGGGGGTCGCCGTCGTTGAGCCAGCAGCAAATCTTCCGAATTTATCCGGGCGCTTTCGACCGAGTCATTTGCTCTCCAATAAAAGCTGTTTCTACTGCGACTCGTGGCTTTTGGAAGTGGTCGCCTCTTGACGGCTGACCACCGATTCTTGAATCATGTTCTGCTTCGTGCGCAGCGATTGGCGATACGATATATGTGGGAGCGTGAAATGGATATGTCCAATTTCATAACTGCTCTATAGTGTTGTTATTATTTTTTTCTTTAGATAGAGAAGGTAAAAGACAGTGTGACAAGCGTGCTTTCAAAGTCCTGCACAAACACCTGTTGTCGGCGCGCATTTTTTTCTCGTTCTACTCGGAGACATGGCAAGCGAAGGGGATACAAGCGCGAGCTGGCCCGCGTCCATGCTTTGAAAAGGATAGAATGCGCGCACTGGGGGTGTCTATAAAGCCGCTGCATGGCGCTCACATTGGTCATACAAAAACTGCCTGCAAAGAAAAAGATGTTCAAAGTACACATATGTGTGAAGGAGACATGCCCCGAACATGCTCTATAGACCTGTCCGGAGATAATTTGGTCGACATGGCATGCAGCGAACACAGTGTCTTCATGACTGCTTGCTTCTTGCCGTCTCCTGCATTCTTTGTCGCGTCTGCCGAAAACTGCCAAACTACGTTGCCATATTATTATATTGCGTGTCATGGTTCCCTTAAGATTTTTTTTTTATCAAATCACGGGAGCTATCTATTCGGCTGCATATCATCCAATGGTTTGCACGTCTTGTCGCAAACTTGACATAAAATTGCAAAAAAAAAAAAATTTTTTTTTCCATGCTACATTTTTTTAGTGACAATAATAGTTTCCAGCGGAGTTGTTAATGGTTAGTTAGTTTGCTCAGGATCGTGTCCGGTACCAAACAAACGTCGACACCCGTGGTCCACACAACACTGGTTGCCACCGTCGCTCATAGATGGCGGTAGCTGTCCAGAGTGTTGTGTTTGTCGGTTGTCTGCTTGCCGCCGTCGCTCATAGATGGCGTCAACTTTCCAGCCTTTCCACTCTGGCTTGCCGACTTGCGGCCGGCCACTACTTCATTCCCACCATTGTACAGCTTCGCTGGTCTTCTTTCTCTAGAGAGTGGAAAGGCTGAATTTTTTAGATGCGGAGCATCTCTTGCTCGGGTCTATGTCCCGCGGCGTCGTAGTCCGCACTCACACTACGCATGCACAACTCTCCTCCTTCCCTCTCTCCAACAGCTGCGCGTTACTCTCTCCGCTCTCTCTCTCTACCAGCTGCGTGCACTTCGCGTGCGTTCGCTTCTACTCACACCGCGCGCGCATGCGCAACTCTCCTCCTCTAGTCTCCTCTCCATCAAGTGTGACTATAGGCTCCTTGCATTGACGTCACATCGCACACATTTGCACACCAAGTAAAAGGAAGAGAGGGAAGCTGCTTTTGTAAGAATTTTGAGTGACGGGTTAATCTTCTATAATCTTCTGGGAGGAGAATAGCGACGCCTGTGCAAATCCGGAAGGCACAAAGGAGGGTCTTGATAAGAGGGGAGCTCCTTCTCCCCCTCTTCTCTGGAGGGTATCGGAAATGACGTCATGTGCAAGGAGCCTATAAGCAGCGGTAGCGCACTGCGCGCGTTCCTCCTTTGATTTCCTTGCTCTCAAGACTGACTGACAGCGCGCGTTCAGTTCACCCGCTGTTGACTCCACTCCGTTCTTCCGATGAAGTGTGATGGAAGCAACAGTCCCGACAGTTAGTGGGTTGGCGCAAGCAAGCGTCAGCACCACCCCACAAACTAACGTAATAACACGCAAGTTAACAACGTTACTAACAACGTTACTAACACCGTTAATAACACCGCTAATAACGATCCGCGATGCTCCGCATCACCCCATAGTTCCCCTCGGGAACATGGTGTAATTTTTTTTTCTCCTCTGTTTTGCGGGAAAGTAGACAGGCCCACTATTTTCTTTTTAGGGTGCGGCGTGATTCGGGCTGATATCAATCGATACGAACGACAAATGTTCTGACCAAACGAGACGCCATTATCCTATCCGCACGGGTCTGGTTTTATGAACAGCGTTCCGAGGAGACGAGACCCATAAAGGGTCTTCGACGAGGCCGGGCGCTCCCAACTGCGGCGACGCCGGGCGATTATTATCGGGATGCGCGCATAAAACGTATGCGGTTCGATTGTTCCATGCGTCTCGTACGTTGTATCTAGGAACAGAATCGGTGCGTCGCGTGGCCGCTGTCAACACTCGAAAGTAGAAGCAGAGTTTCTTTCTTTATTTTTTTTTCCAGGAAGCCTATTTAGTCAATGAGAAAGTAAAAACGGCAGGACGTTTTTTTCTTTTTTTTTTCTTTCGAATGATTGGCTTCCAGCGAGCATCGTTGCCTTCCACCGTGCTTTGGTAGTTTTTTCCAGCGTGCGCACGCTCGAAGCTCGTACGAAACTACACAGCTCTATCGTGCTTTGTAGTTTGTAGGTGCTCGCGATGGAAGTGGTAAAAACGAAAGAACAGGTCCCTGCCGTTCTTATCCTGCGTGAGCTTTCTCGGCTAGCCATTGGACGGGGGACGTGGTGTCGCAGCTTTCTGATGGGCGCACGTTATCGACCCATGAGTAAATGTTCGACCCGTTCGCGAGTCCGTGACCGCAGGCAGCATTTTGGCGAGGACTTTTCGCCAACGCACGAATGGCGAGAAGGATATATCTCGCGGCCTCTGGTGTACTAGCTCTTGAGTCCTGACTCACTGCCCCATGATCCTGCGCTTTTTATTTTATGTCTGTGCTTGATTGGTTTTGATTGGATAGCAAGCGCACGAAGACGACGGCGTTTCTTGATGCACCAAAACAAAGCAAAAAAAACATTACGACTTTTTTTTAGTCCGTTGCAAATCAACGAGGGAAAGGGAGGCTGGTGAGGAGGAAGCAGACGGAACGCTGGAAATCCTCCTCTTTCCAACGTTCCGCCTGCTTCCTCCTCCCCTGCCTTCCCTTCCCTCTCCCTACCTCCTTGAGGAATCGAATGGCGCAGCGTCATTTCTATTATAATGCAATTAAATGCAAAGGTGCAAGCGAGCTGGACAAGAATGACGAAAGTAATCCCTGGAGAAGGGGAACAAGAGGGACAAAGGTTTATGTTTGTCCTTTGTCCCTCTTGTTCCCCTTCTCCAGGGATTACTTTCGTCATTTCTAGCTTCTGCACTGTTGAAAGAACCAGCGGTCTTTGGTTTTCTTTTGCAATTTCAAAGCTACGAACCCTACTTTCCACGACCAACGAAAACCTAGAGAGCCTCAAGTATAGAGTGTGGTCAACTGCTCGCCCGGGGTACGTGTTTATAGGGTCTACGGGTGGTTTTTCAACGTAACTCCGGTTATAATAAACAGCCCTGGAGATGCTCGAATATTTTACGCCAAGAATAAAATAGCACTTTTCTTTAGACACAATTTTTGTTCCGGGTAGGAGTATCTTTCAAACGCAAAAAAGCGTATAATCCGCCATCTCTAGCGCCGCCATTAAATTGAAAACACTCTTCGTAGTTTGAATTGAACACACTATTACTTGAGACTCTTTAAGAAAACCAGCAGGTCTCTAGTGTTCGTCGAAATCCCCTCATGGATAAAACAGTTTGGTTGTTTTAAAGGGGTACGGCATTTTAGCGCCTATTTCTTCTTTTAGACGTGGCCTTTTTGATGACAGCAGCTTACAAACACGAGTCTTTCGTCTGTAAATGCAAGAAAAGCAATTTTAAAACGAATAAAACGATTTTCCAACACGGTAGTTGGGGTGCCGAGTTTCGTTGGAATGTTTGACGTGCCACGTACCAATTAGTAGCAGCGCCACCGCGCGGCAATATCCGATGGAGGTGTCCGCGAACACGCGGCGCTTGGCACACCTCTCAATTCCAGTACACCAAACCTCGGGTATCCCCACTTGGTGGGATTGTAACGCGTTAGCGATAAAGCTGGCACCACCTAGTGACGACGATCGTAATTACGTCACCCTTGGCCGTTTATGGCACGGGGGGGGGGGCATGGCGTAAGCTACGTTGCTTTGCCAAGCCATCCTCCCGTGTCGCTCGCCTCTTTCTCCTCTTCCTCGCCGATTTCCCTTTCAAACATGAACCACACGTGACCACTGAATGGTACATGGTTGCGTCTACGAACTGAGTGGCACCAGGTTTCACCGTTGTTCTGTTCAGGATCGCGGTAATCTGACGGCGTCTCTGTCTTGTATTTAGTCGAATAACAATGAATAAAAAAAAAATTTACACTCCGTTACTATCATGCAAGTGGATACAAACGTTTTAATGAAGATAAAGCAAGTAGGCAGGATAGACATAGTAACCCTCGAGCGAGGGGACAAAAAAGGACGAACAGACACGAAACTCCGAACGCAGCTAAAGATGTATTTTTATAACACCTCCTTAAACAGGCCCACAAACCCACAAGACGGACACGTTTATGGTAAAAAAAAAAAATCCAACGGGTCATAATATCCAACGAGTCAAAACATCCATTAGGTCACGTGACACAAAAGTCAAACCATCCATCCGAGTAGAAACATTCATAGAGTCAAAACGTCCATCGAGTCAGAACATCCATCCAAGTCATAACATCCATAGTCAAAACGTCCATCGTCAGAACATCCTTCAGGAGGTTTGAAAGCAGGGGACCTTGACAAGTCGAAAAATGTATATATATGTTATTTATGTTCATTTGAGTCACTTTTGTATATATATATATATATATATATATATATATATATATATATATATATATATATATATATATATATATATATATATATATATATATAAGGTTCTATGGATATATACGTTTAATATATAAGGTTGTATGCGTGAATGTATGCATGGTGTTATGAATTGTGCGCATGATTTTGTTTTTTCTACTTATGCTTCATACAAAGACTTTGGTCGTTTTGAGGCACAAAGAACCAAATAAATAATAATAATAATAAAAATAACTTATAAGATAACGCTTGTAGTTTCCGATGACAGTTCCGGGAAGGATGCAATTCACCTTTGCCAAGGAACCTGCTCGCTGCTCGGCCACAGTTATTTCCACTGGACGCTGCTCGGCTCCGGTAATTTGCCAAGTATTTTGACAGCTTCTGGCTTTCAAACACAGTCGTCAAAGACTTGAGAACAACGGAGGGGAATCGGTGGTCGAGTGGGCTGAAACGAACACCCAGCTCGACGTGCGCGGAGCGAAAGCTCGCGCTGCAGAACCCAGGGATCCTGGGCTCGAGCCCCACCCCTTCCCGTTTCGATCTGGATGAGCATCGTACCGGCGTGCGGTCGTGTATCACTACTGCGTGGTGCACGTTAAAGACCCCAGGATAGCGGTTGTACTGCACTGGCTAAATTGCTCATCTACAGCGTGTGACTCGTCGCAACTTTAATGGCAGACCAACTACACGCTCGTTAAATATCCCCACAACCCCAATTATTATTATTAGAACAACGGACCACGCACCACCTCGGTGGAAGGGTGGCATAACGCACTGCAGAGCCGGCTCACGAGTCGTCATCTAGACTTGGCTGAATTCATACAGCTCCTGCAATTTATTCAGCATTCTTCACAAAACAGGATCCAGGCACTGCTCTTGGATCCCCTCGTGGTGGCGTCTGCACCGGCGGTTCAAGTGACCAGACGTAACAAGCGGCTGCAGGAGGAGATGGTATACGTTTTCGTGCTACTTGGCGACTGCAGTTTCGACATTTCAAGGCGTGCTCAACTATACGTTGATAGGATTTCAATGACTGGAATTCTTCCATAGAACGAACTGACCACAGTACGTGAGCGGGCTTGCCCGAAAATTTGTAATTTTTATTAATGCAAGCTCGTGCACGCAATAAATCAATTTGAATGCCTCGGGCAATACTGGCGTTTTACTCAACGACCTTTCTTAAAATATCATAACGTCGCATCTCAGAGTGAAAGTCGGGGCACAAACTCCGATAACCCCTTGGCCCACAGTGCGGTGGATGCGCTGTGGAAGTCATGTTTTCGCAAGTGCAACCGATGGCATGCTTCTTCTAGCTCGACATCGTTATCCACGCGTGGGCATATACGGAGATAGGGGCGATCCTGTGGTGTGACGCCGACAGGTCTAACGAGCGGGCAGTTTATTCTGCACTGTCAGCTTCGGGGCGAAGGGAGTGCAGTGTGATGAACCAGGCATATGCGCCTAAACTTGTAATAGCAGCCCTCCATCGGTCTCCAGATGTGGCCTGAAGAATAAAATGTTTTCGGCCTTCCGTGCGCCTGTTTCTCAAGCGTCTGGCTTTCGTGAGCCATTGCTCCGGCTTCCCGTGCTTACTCTACTGCTGCACGATTCCGGACCATTTGCTCGGCTTTAGGCGCGACATTATTAGAGGCACGTGGAGCCCGCACCCCAGCTTGATGATTTTCACCGTTCTCCATGTTTGCTCCGCTTATCGCCCGCTTTGCTGGTCCTCCGCATCTGACATGTACTATGCTCGAACCGGTGAAGGAAAATGTACACATTTAAATTTTTTTCTTATTCTTGATTTGGCGTTCAGCTCACATAAATTGCTCCAAACCCTTTCCCCGTATTCTAAAACAACATGTTCTTTTTAAACCTTCCAGTGAAACATACCATTCGCATACCTGCATACTAAAGAACATTTTATGCGCAGTAAGTTTCATTATGGAGTTTTCAAGCATGCAATCCGCTCACCGCGTTATGGCGACGCGTCCCCGCTGCTTATGCCTGTTCCTCCTGGGTTGAATACAGAGCGGAACACGAGAAGCGGTTTTTGACGAGCTCTGATAAGATACGACAGTGGCACAGTGGCAGATCCAAGAGGGGGGGGGGGGGGCGACGGGAACGGCCGCCCCCCCCCCCCCCCCCCCCAAAACAAAGTCGACCCCCCCCCTCCCCCCTTCTCGGAGGGCAATTTGCCATTGGTGGACCTCCCGGTGCACAAGAAAGAATGGGAGAATAGTATCCTTACAAATTTTCCGCCCCCCCCCCCCCCGCCCCCCCCCAAATGGAGTTCTGGATCCGCCCCTGCAGTGGCAGGGTGTACAGCGCCACTGCCCAGTGTACTGTACACTTAAAAATGACAAAACAGAAAGTAGAAATATTCAACACATTCTCTGCGCTTGGCCATATTTCCCAAAAATGTGAAAACATTGTTGGTCTTTTTTTCATTTATATAGGTTTATCGAGGAACATACGGCCTTTGTTCACCCTATTTTTAAAAGTCGGTTACACAAAAGAAGAACCCTTTCGGGTAAACCCCACGCACAAAAAAAAACTTTATATATCTGAATCGGAACCTGGATCGCGTCAAAACGTTCAACGAGTCGGAATATCCGTCCGAGTCAGAACATCCAACGCGTCAAAACGCCCAACGATTCAAAACATCCACAAAATGATGTTTTGACTCGATGGCTGTTTTGACGTGTTGGATATTCTGACTCGGAATCCTACCGTTAGCGTACTCAAATTTATGTCAGAAACATTAAAATCACCCGTGAGTACGAGTTGGAAGTTTCTAAGGTTGTGTTTCAATATGGAATCATGAATATCAAACAGCACTTGAGCGAAATAACTAGGAGCTCTGTAAATAGCCCCAAACGAACTTATCCATAGGCACTTTCCACCACATTTGGTCAACAAGAAAGTACAGAGAAAAGAACATCAGACTTTAAGAATAGTGCAACGCCACCACCTCTTCCAGAAGACCTGTCGCAACGAAACACACTATAATTAGGGCTAGTAAATTCACAGCGAAGTATGGAATCGTGCCACCAAGTTTCAGTGACACGCATGACATGCGGGGAATATGACGCTGCAATGCGAGCAAATTCAGTAGACTTTGGGAAAAGGCTTCTGGCACTAAGATTTAGCAAGGAAAGCTTGTTATTTTTCACGAGTCAATTCGAGAATGCGGAAAACGACTGGGCGGGCAGCTCTTACGATGCAGTTGTTAGATTCATCCCATGTGTGCCGGACGTTATAGACAAGTGCGTAGTCATGACGTAAAATAACTTTAGAGCCGTTTCGTCTGAGGTCAGCCGTACCCATGCCAGAGCTGCCCACGGATGTTATGGACACAAAGGGAAAAGTTCTCGTTAATGCATGAACAAGTGGGTGCCCTTTAATTTTCGAGCATTCTTAAAAAAATTATAATTTGTGTCGGTTGTCAAGCACCCTGCAAATCATAGGTCGAATTTTACCCTCAATGTGAGAACCGGCGATGACAGCGCTCCATACCATCGCAGGTATACTTGAAGGCAGTAGATCAATGACACAGCTCAGCAAGGAAGCCGGCGATACATCTTCAACTTCCTCTAAACAACATAAAACCTTATTGTTAATTGCTACGAGAACGATTTTCCAGGACGTCGTGCTTATCAGTTAGTTGGATGACGGCAAGTTCAAGAGCGGCTATTTTTTCTTCTAGACATCTCACTTTATTCTCAAGCCTAGACAATCGAGATGAACTGGAACCAAGAGCAGCAAGGCGCAATTCGAAACCGTCAAGCTTATTTTGAAGAGCTGCATGGTTACTTTTTATTTGGGTTATATCGGCAGCTATTTGCGCTTGCTCTTCAAGGATTTTGTTTAGGAAGAATCTGAGTGTCTTCATCAGGGCCGGAGTTCATTTCGACATCAGCACTACGAATCAGAAGAGTCAAACAAACTCTAAACCATGCTAACAAGGAGGAACAGCGTGTCATGCTTCCCAGTGGGCTTGGTATACCAGCAACAAAAACCGGTAATCGGACTTAAAAGGGTCAGAAATAAACCCTACCTGCAGGGCAGAGATTGAGAAACTCAGTGGCGTGTTCATTGTCTTTTTCTTGAATTAACAGCGCAAATACGACAGGAAGGAGAGATAAGGGAGACAGGATAGAGCGCTGATAGAGCGAGATCAGCGCTCTATCCTGTCTCCCTTATCTCTCCTTCCTGTCGTATTTGCGCTGTTAATTCAAGAATATGATCAACCAACTAGCCCACCAGATGGTCGTGAGGCGTGTTCATTGTTCTGCCACTTCTCATATCAACCTTCTTTTTTAAGGGGTGACAAAAAACAACAATAATAATAATAATAATAATCAATCAATCAATCAATCAATCAATCAATGTTCATTATAGTGCCCAGGAACAACCTTGCTGTCTTGGTACTGGCACACCGGATGGAAATGAATACATAAAACACACAAATACAGAAGAGCAATGCACTGTATACAGTAACTGAATATAACCATACACGACATACACTGAGCTGAATGATAACAAAATACAATTTGTAGGTCTTGTGTAGAATGAAAAGAAATTGCAGTAATGTAAAAAAAAAATTATAATAATAATAAAAACTGAAAGCAGTGGATTTCTGATTTTAACAACTAACAACACAGAACGCGTCGGCAATGCTACCATGGCGGCACTGCCACCAAATCGCCCATCCAACAAAGTACAAATGAATAAATTCCTCACATTTGTGGGCGGAGTGAATGACAAAGGAACTACTCAACAGATGCCTAAATGCTTCCACAGTTCCATGGCGTTAATCCCGTTGCATCTTTCCCTCGCCTTACGCTTCATTCTTTCGCGTTGCTCGGGCTTGAAGTAGTTTTTCCAGTCACCGACCATCCCTTTGCGCACAAACTCCCCGGCGTGCGGCTTTTTCAATAAATCCCCCGCTGCCTCCTGGAAGAGGGCAGCCCACCTGGGCATCTCATCGACGGGTATCTTCGTCGTCACCTGTCTCTGATGGTCTCTCTCGCGCCGAAACAACTCCCGCACGTTGGCCACACTGGTCGCGTCAAGGATCCTCTCCATGGCATCGGGATCCTGCCGCAAGTTATCTCCGTACCGACTCCCCAAGAAGTCGGCAAGCTTCTGCACCCAAAACCGGGTGTCCTGCTTCAGGTCTTCGTAAGTCATGAACAGGACGTTGGGTTCGTCCCGATGAGGGTACCAGGAGAGGAGATGGTCGAAGTAGTCGCCGAATTCCACTTCGCCACGCATGAACTGCTCGAAGAACTGGTCAAACGTTCCGTCTTCGAACTGGTAGAGCGGGAAGAGCTTGTAGTGGTTGTAGAAGGACACGCAACAGTCGTACGGGTTCCGAGCGACGTAAATGTACTTGGCCTGCTTGGAGACGCGGTCCTGGTCGTACAGCATGTGGGTTTTGATGGCGCTGCCTGGCCGAGGCAGGTCGGCAAGACCTTCTACACCCATCCTCTCCAGAAAGGGCATTCTGGTCACGAAATCCTCGATGGACTCCACGGGTTCACCGTTGGTGTAGATCTGGTAGAGGATGCACTGCATCCAAGTCGTGCCGCATTTCGGGTACGTGACGATGAAGACGTCTTCCGGCTGGTGTTTGTAGGAGAGCGCCTCCCGAAGAATCTCGTCCGGAAAGTGGGTTGCCGTGTAGTAGCTTCCAACTCTGCGGTACTTTAGCGTTGGCTTCACCTGCACGGAGGACATCACGTGTGAGCGGAAATAAGTATTACTACTCAAGACGCGGATCTACTACCCAGTATTTAGTTTTACGAGTCGAGGACAGACCATTTGGGTACTTTACGTCAGGTAAGTTTTCGCCGCATGACATGTCTGTGGATCTGTTTGGAGGGGAACGCTGCACACTCATGTACGCCGGCAAAAAAAAAAAGGCAAGTGTTCTTTTTTTGTCAACGTGTCGACTGAACAAATAACATATTGCCATAACGAGCGGAGTTTCATTGCAGCTGGTGACAAAAATGACGCAATAACAAAACTAGACTCGTGCGCCGGAAGTGTGTGAGCGACACGCATCCATGCACAATTTCATGCACCTGTACCCAAACCTATGGAGGGGACACTTTACGATGATAACGCCGGTGCTTACGAGACAAGTGAGCCAAAAAGCACAATAATGATGACGTTAAAGTTTTGTGACACATGATTAACGACTATCAGTGTGTTTCGCTATTCTGGCGTTACCAAATTTTTATATATATGTACATAAAATTAAAATAAAAAAAACAATAAACGAAGCGCATCCAAAACTCTTTTCAATGGTGTTTTTAGCGTACACCGTGTTTACGTCGTTCGCTTTTATGGCTTTTAGCTGTGACGTCACGAGTGGGATTATCGATCGCCGGCGACAATTTCGATGGTGTGCAAAAAGGTATGGCCGCGAAACTCGTATAATCACCGCGTCCTAAACCAACGCCGTCAAAGGTGACAGTCTGACGTTCCTCTTCATTTCATGAATCAAAGTAGAATCTATCACACTCAGGATGCCGCAGTGAGCGTTTATCCAATCGTGGACCGCAGCGGCGCCCTTGGACGCGCACGTCACCGTTGAGGTCATTGTTCACAGCGCATACTCAGAACCATAGTCACAGGCAGCTGAAGGAACGAAGGGCCTGGCTTATTATGTTCCTGCTTCGTGATTGGTTCTCCGGCGTTCTTAACGGCCGATACCGGATTCTGACTGGCTGCGGAGTAATAATGAGATGCTCGGGTGACCATCGCTTCCGCTCATCGTCTAGCTGCTAACAGCCATCCTGATTGGGTAGATAAAATGCACGCCGAACGTGCACAAACGTGCTGTCCGTTATGCTTCCAATAGAGCCACAGATATTCACGAATATTTATTCAGCGTGAGCGTACCGGACTGCCTTTATGAATAAAGGCAGTCCGGTAAGTGATGCGACCACGCTACTTCACCAAAATAATGTAAAAAAAAAAAAAATACGACGAAGAACACAAGGATGGAGACAGGCTACATGACGTTGAAGGCGTTCCCCACCTTAAGATTAACCGCCTAGCCAAACTAACCAGTATACCTTCACTAATATGTGAAAGGTCATATGGATAGTACGGTACCACTATATACCAAAGCGCGGCTGAGCTGCGGTGACTTTGCTGTCGGCATAGCCCAGGCGCACAGGCGTTTAACTTCTCGGAAATCCGGGTCCTGCACACGCGCAGCGCCCAGGTGTGGGCAAACGCTGACCTGTTTGTAAACCGCACAGGTATACCGCGTGACGTCATTTATGACATTGTAGAGACGTTGTGTGCATGTAAGTTTCACTTGCTTCAAGTGGTATGAGGGGAACTAATTTTTGTTTTTTCTCATCCTACGTCTATTTCATGTTCCAGTGTCACATATTTTTTTTTCTTTTATATTTAGTTTTATCGCCATACAGCTCAACGCGGTCCATCACGGAGAACAATGTACCGTGAACTTAATTTTTCCCTGAGGTATGCACACGCGCGCGTGCCGACCTCGAAATGGCTTTTTTAACGTCACGTCCGGACTATAGATGGCAGTTTCCTTGTAGGCGGCAGCTGTGAAACATTTCCACTGCGAATGTTTTAAACGAAATTTCGAATCGAAATTGTGCATTAAACTCTTCGTTCATAAACAACTCAGTCTTTATCAGACATGTACAGGTTACCTAAAAAAGTAACTAAATATCGCTACTTGTTACTCGCTCAAAAAGTAACCAAATACGTCACTCGTTACCGATTCTCATAAGGAAGGCCTTCTTTGAACATAGTTACAGTTGCGCACACAGGGACAAGGACTGTAACTATGTTCAATAACTACCAACTCGCCCAACTGTCTACTCTACATTGCCTCCTTTACCTCGAATGTAACGAAATACTTTTCTCGTTACTTTGACGACCAAATACACAACTGCTTTTGTTTAGTGGTTTATTGTTTTCCTGTCAGTAGTCGAGCTGCCTCTCCAAGTTTTCGTCGGTTATGTTTACTCGCTTACTTCAGTATACATATCCGGCAACGCTATAGAGTCGTTCTACTGAAGCGCTCGAATGAACGGCACTGTTGTGCTTCAGGAAGAGCGGGTGAATCTGGGATTCCGTTCTCTCTTTTGTTCTCTCTGCTTCTAAAGTTCCAAGTTGACAATGGGTTCTGTGCCTTCTCGTGTTGGCAACCTCCGCGTTTATATTCGGTTTGTACACGGTTCTAGAAGGTTCTCATCCAACTCGAAATTAGTTAAAAGAGGAATAGTTAATTTGTGTTCTACGTACGTCTTCAAAAGGTCTTGCCACCATGCAATGTCCTTGAGTCTGATTGAGCAAAACGAACGCTTGCAGCGTGCCGGGTTTCCAAAGGCTGTGATTGTATCTGTAGCAAAAGGCGTCCTAAGAAAGGACGTTAGCCCGCGCCCAGAGGCAGGTCAAGCGAGACAGAAAGTTGCGGTTGTGCCTTACAGAATGGCGCACAGTCTTGGAAAAATAGCAAAACGTGTAAACATAAAAGTTGTTCACTCCGCACCCGAAAAGCTCGCAAAGATGTGCAAGCTGACAGACCCATTCCGCTAAGTACCGACGGGCTGCCCAATCAAGCACAGGAGTCCGTTTGTCGCGTGCACGGAAGGGCTGGTGTATCGGATTCCGCTTTCATGTGGCAAGATATATGTCGGCCAGGCAGGCAGATGTTTAAATGTACGGCTAAGAGAACACTACCAGAAAGTGAACGGGGTTCGGGATGGGCCCTCTGTTGTGTCACTGTCATGACTGCGGGTGCAAACCATTATTTGCTGCTTCTACTGTTCTCGCTAGGCACAAAGATAAGACTGCTAGAGAGATTATGGAGGCTGACGCTATAATTAGTTCCGGCACATGTTGTGTCCGTGTGGCTTCAATTGACTTGGCGGAAAAAGAGTTAGCGTACTTGCGGTCCGTGGCGGGGCCACGGATTGGTTGAGATGTGGTGCGGTGACGCAGTGTGTTTCTACGCTGAGGCTCTCGAATTAAATCAGTTGAAAGTTAGTGTTCTGGAACGGCATTTCACAAGAGCGAAGGTTTCGCGGGATTTCCGAGGTCAAATGTGCGTAATACCTATATGAAAGGCTCGTTTATAACGTTCACAAAAGTTTTTCGAGCCAAGAAAAAAAAAGGATAATGCGCGAGAGAAATAGAAAGTATGCCGGACCGCCAAGTTTACACTGCTACCCAATAGATGGCGCCAGTGTGTCCTCTCGTTGTAAGAGGTTTTAAGGAACCCAGTTTTAAGAGGTCGCAAGAGTGTGAACGGGTCTTTTTTAGACTTGATTCATATGGTGCGATTTCGCTAGCGATTTTACAGTTGCGATGTCGCTCGTGCGGCACAAAAAACATGGGGGACACTGCGGTGCACGATGCCGCAGGTGCGAATTCGCAAGCTAAATCGCACCATGTGAATCGGGCTTTACGATGATTGGCCATCTCGTTCGCTGCGGAGTGACAGTCGGATGAAAGGGACATGTAACGTCAGGCCCTGCACTTCTTAAAATGTCGGCGACTACAGAGAGCCATTTTGGTCCGATGAAGATGTCAGAGCAGCGGTTGACACCCTCTAGAAGAAACCATTTCCGTAACTTTACGCCACGTGTCAGTTAGTGCTTTCAAATCATCGAACATGCCTGCAATACGGACAGCGGAACAGGAACCGAGCTTACCTGAGTACCATTCATGCTTGAAGAGCTTTTGTGTATCCGTACAAGGATTTTTTTGTTATCCGCCGGCTTTTGAATTCTAGATCGCTGCAACGTTTATGCATCAATTAAAATACCGAGTTAGTTCTGTTAGAGAGTCAAACTTTTTTTTTTTTTGCTGTATCTCGCGCTGAAAAAAGTTAGCAGACGCTCAGTCCGGTAGACGATATGCGACGCCTCGTCTGCGAGCGCCTGATTATATGCGCGTGTTTTTGGCGGCCTCTGAGACTTGTGCAAGCGAAACTATCTCCGCAGCGCCCTTGAAGGCAGCGATGGCCATCTCGAGTCTACGCCGTAAGCTCGGGATTATAAAACCCTATCCCGGACGTTGGTGTTTACCTCCTGAAAAACAACAACAAACAAACGTGGACTTGTAGACTTCGCAACATATTGAGCTGCGTCGAAGGAGAGAGCTAGAAAGATCAAAAGATATCGAGCGCTTGCTCGTCTACTCGGCTACTTTCTCGGCATCAAAAGTCCATTGTCACCGAGCGGAAACCGCGTGTCCGTGCTTGTACGTGCTCGAGCCCTTGACTGCGCTCCGACTCGATGAAATCTGAGGTCTGGCCGACGGGGCTCGCGTGGCCTCTTTCCGTCGTTATAGAGGCCCCAATAAACGTGTCCAGCCGAGGCAAGCTCACAGTTGGTCATTCCGCTGTAAAGTGATTGCGTCGCGCGCTTGTGTACGCAGCGAGAAGTCCGGCAGTCCCGATATGGCGTCTGGTGCCTCCGTTGTAGACGAGAAATTCAGTCAGTGCCGAACCCCACCACCAGGACCGGATTAAGAGATTTCGTTGACCCTGGGCTAATGCTGGCCAGGGCCCCGAAATTAGCGATAATGATGATGATGATCATGATGATGACGACAATGATGATTATTATGATAAGGTTGGTCAAAAATGAAAAGTTTCAGTAAAAGAAGAAAAAGATACTTTATTAAAACGTCCACGCTTCGAATGCCTAGAAATGTGCTAAGTTAGCGCGATATCTTTT